TACATTCAGTCCTGCCAGGACTGAATGTAGAGATTGCAACTTCCCCACAAGGACACCGCTGCCGCCCCTCTGCGCCCTGCTGCCCCGAGGCCGGGCCTCGGTGGCCTTGTGGGGAATCCGGGCCTGGGTGCATCCCTAATATTTACAGCAATGCAGAATGGCACAGGTTATAGAGGACTACACATCCCAGCAATACTGGTTTAAATAGTTACCGACACGCTCTGTATGCATATTCTGACAGTGTAAGGGGCGGGACGCTGCGCTTGTTGGTGGATCGGATCAGGTGAGTATTGAAAATGTTAAAAAAAAAAAGTTTTATTTTATGTTCCCGGGACATTTTGACCCGGGAACATAAAATAAAACATTTTAAAATGTCCCGGGATTTTATTTTAAAAATGACACCTTGCCTTAGCCTGGTGGTCAGTGGGGCTCCGTGGACAGTGTGAGTGTATCTGTTGCGGCCGCAGCTGCTCCATCCCTCTGCCACCTTTCTGCCATCTGCGCATCTCCCGGTCAGCCCACGCGCATCAGACCCGGCTCTCTAATCGGCCGCAGCTCGCTCAAGTGGGTCCTCTACTGTGCCTGATCCACATCACATACTGGCTGGATCAGGCAGATGCAGCCCTCTAAACAGAGAGGTGAGAGAGGTGGGGCACAGAGAGACGACAGAGACATGATAGAGCTAGTGACAGAGACATGATAGAGCTAGTGACCGAGACATGATAGAGCCAGCGACCGAGACATGATAGAGCCAGCGACCGAGACATGATAGAGCCAGCGACCGAGACATGATAGAGCCAGCGACAGAGACATGATAGAGCCAGCGACAGAGACATGATAGAGCCAGCGACAGAGACATGATAGAGCCAGCGACCGAGACATGATAGAGCCAGCGACCGAGACATGATAGAGCCAGCGACCGAGACGACAGAGACATGATAGAGCTAGTGACCGAGACGACAGAGACATGATAGAGCTAGTGACCGAGGCGACAGAGACATGATAGAGCTAGTGACCGAGACATGATAGAGCTAGTGACCGAGACATGATAGAGCTAGTGACCGAGACCACAGAGACATGATAGAGCTAGTGACCGAGACAACAGAGGGATGCTAGAGACCGAGGCGACAGAGACAGAGGGATGCTAGAGACGACAGAGACAGAGGGATGCTAGATACGACAGAGACAGAGGGATGCTAGAGCCGACAGAGACAGAGGGATGCTAGAGACCAAGACGACAGAGACAGAGGGATGCTAGAGACCAAGACGACAGAGACAGAGGGATGCTAGAGACCAAGACGACAGAGACAGAGGGATGCTAGAGACCAAGACGACAACGACAGAGGGATGCTAGAGACCAAGACGACAGAGACAGAGGGATGCTAGAGCTAGAGACCAAGACGACAGAGGGATGCTAGAGACCGAGACGACAGAGACAGAGGGATGCTAGAGCTAGAGACCGAGACGACAGACAGAGGGATGATAGAGACCGAGACGACAGATTAGAGACTCTGCCATCTCTCTAGCATCTCTGCCTCGATCCTTTCACTGTCTCTAGCATCGAGAGAGGGAGGAAAGAGAGGCGATCGAGAGAGGGAGGAAAGAGAGGCGATCGAGAGAGGGAGGAAAGAGAGGCGATCGAGAGAGGGAGGAAAGAGAGGGAGGAGAGTGAGAGGGTGAGAGAGATGAAAGAAAAGAGACGGAGACGGCGAGATGCTGGAGGCGGCGAGATGGAGAAGGATAACCTGTTTTACTTGTTCTTAAAATATTGCAGCAACAAAAATATCTAACATTATAAATGTATTGCATCCATGTTTGGCACCTTTTTAACCTAGACACAAACAAGCAGTTAACCCTTTACGCATGATAGGAGCCCCACTACAAAGGTCAATTATATGTGTGCCTGGAGTTCTGCTTTAAACAAAGGCTGTCACTTGGCCTATTCAGGGCAAAGTAACGGTGCCTTTGTAAAACATCCACTCCTGCATCGGTTATACTCATCAGCGTTCCCTCCCCGCTCCTGTCTTTGTTGTAGCTGGCAACAATACCTGGTGTTACCAGGTAAAGAGGAGAATGTGACCTCCTCCCATGTAACAGTGCCAGTCACTAGGCCCAAGCACTGCCACATTACCGTGGGAATTACAAAACTGTTTCCCTTCGTGTCTAACACCATCCGCCACCTTAGATGATTTCACCGTTGGCTGCAATGGAGGAAGGACATGCATGGGAGTACTGGAAAGGTAAATATAACTAGTGCAGGGACACTTGAAGACACTGTCACTTTACACCGCATGGACAAGGTGACAGCACCTCTTTACCACACATTGAAACAGTTATGTGCTGGCCTGTAAAAAGAAACCTTTGTCTGGTGTTATAGCAATACATTTAAATGCACTGCAATTCTAATCATTTCTATAGGCCACTAGCACATATCGATGCTGTAAAAATAATGCAGGCTGAATTTTTCATAAAACACACTTTACAACACTTATGTTGTCTAAATTGCAAAACAATACAGGCGCCTTCAAATCCAAAAAGAGCCCAGCAGTAAAAATACAGCAAGCACGATGGAGGCAGCTCCCACAGATTAGATGGACCACCAGTCTATGAGAAAAGGAACAAAAGAGAGCGCCTCCATAGTGTAAAAATGTTATTTAATAGTAAAAACACGCAGCTCTAAGGCTGTACTTACAACAGTTCGGTAGAATAAAAACCAGTAGAATAAGGTGAGAGAGGACGGAACCCCTGGCAGGCAGAATCTGGAGTAATGTAAAGGTTTTCCATTGCTCCAGACTCCCTGCCAGGGGTTCCGTCCTCTCACCTTATTCTACTGGTTTTTATTCTACCGAACTGTTGTAAAGGTTTTCCATTGCTCCAGACTCTCCCTGCCAGGGGTTCCGTCCTCTCACCTTATTCTACTGGTTTTTATTCTACCGAACTGTTGTAAGTACAGCCTTAGAGCTGCGTGTTTTTACTGTTAAATAACATTTTTACACTATGGAGGCGCTCTCTTTTGTTCCTTTACTTATGTGGTCTGTAGAAGCTCTTTTGAGGTACTGTGTTATACCACTGCAAACTGCTTAGAGTGAATGCAGTCTTCAGTGAAACTGAAGCCAAATGACAAATGCATATTTAAGATTTAACTCCCCAGTTAAGTACCTTAACCATTAACAGAAATGTATCTTCTTATTTGTGTATCACTTGTGTATACAACCTCACATTTAGTTTACCAATTTGTATTGAGATCTTAGTGCATCACAGGAGGGAGCTTGGAGCGGTGGCTACTTTACAACACACAGAGACCATGGGGAACACAATTGTCCACCCTCCAGAAGGAAGGACAGTGTCAGCACCAATTCAGAGATGATTTGAGGATCTACAGCCGAGTGATACACAAATAAGACAAATTTTTTGTTAATCGTTACTTGAATGCAGAACATGAACAGATGGGAAATCTTCTAATGGGGACATTAGTTCTAGTCACTCTGCTGACCACCAGGGATTTCCCTTTTTGGATGGATTTCCTCACTTCTTGTTGTGGCCACTGGACAGGAGGTAAAAAGGAAATTTCCCCATTGGGACACCAAAAGTGAAATGGATACATTTTCAGTTCTACTTTATTATTGGAGTGGAGATGGCATTATCCTTGGGACTACCTAATTAGTAGTTAAACTTGGAACCATTCATCGCCCAACTTTCAGACATGGTAAAAGGGAACACCTTCTAGCCCAATGTATGAAGGAAAAAGAATAGGCTGGGGTGGGGTGCAAAGAGCCTACTCATTGCTATATCTAGTCAGCCTTTTTAGTTTTCTATTATCTTGAGTAGGTGGGCCACTAAAGTGGTTTTATGCATCATTTTAGGAAGTACAGTGCATCTCATCTGAGCAGTGGCGTGCAATCCTGCCGACTGGAACATTACTCTGACAGGACAAAGATGGATGTTTTAACGTAGCTGGGATGCAAACGTTGAAATGGAAATCTTCAGTTTATCACATATGAGCACAGAGATCGAGCACTGCGAGAAAGAATGCTGGAGACTATCGTGGTGTGAGCAGACTTTGCTTGAACACTGTATTTAGATTAAGAAATGAGCCATTTCCACAGTCAAAAGATGTTAAAAACATTTTATTTTCACCATTAAATTTTAAACACTGTTAAAAGAATAACAATCCACTCTGCTCCAACAACTCCTTAAAATGATAGGTCTATACGGTCCATAATACCCTGCACACGGACTCAAGATTATTCCCCTTTTAATGTGCCCAATGTGGGCTGTGCAATCACAGGGAGGATATGTTGTCAATTGTGCATGCCAGGCAGTGCAATCAGTTATCACACAGTAGGCACTTGTGTAGCTGAACGGTTTCCTGCAATTAAAGGGAATGAAAGTGAGGGAACATCAAAAATGTTAAGTTGCCAGTCCAGGGATAGAGAGGAATCCTTCCAAAGGGGACAATTGTTCGCGTGACAAGGGTCTAACATGGAATTTTCTTCACTTTGTTGAGATTCCCTCTCACTTTCTGTTGAGTAATATGACCAGAAAAAAACAGGGGGGCGGGGGGGGCGGGGGAGAGCAGTATTCACTACTCTAAGCAAAACTTTTGATATGCTTTAAAGGCCTGTGTTGATATTTGAGATTGTGTGGATGGCATGAGTTTTAGACGCTACTGAGATCATTCAGAATTCAATGTCCAGTGCATTTGACCTCCCAAGCAGGCTTTGCATTCCCATGAACTTTTATAGGAATGCAAACCAGTTTGAAGCAAACTAAAGCCCACCGACACAGGCCCCCTTAAGTAGGTTAACTGCAAGGGTCAATGAATTCTCAATTATCTATTATCACGCAGGGCCAGAATTTTAAACATGTTGGAGAAACTGTCCTAGATGACCCATTTTGCCCCACAGAAACCAAATACCACAAGAGGAATCTGGCTGCTGCTGTGCAATGTGGCTATGTGAAGAACCTTTCCATCATCAGAATTTTTTTTGACCTACAAAACCCAAAGCACTTAAAACATTGTACAACCCACAAACCCATTAACAACCAATGTTCATAGCTCGTCATGAACATATGTGAATTCTCTGGCAGAAATAAAACCATCGGTGTCCTCATCTTCTTTCTCAAATATGCTCTCAACCAAGACATCATGATGGGTTTCATTTATGGAATTGCCATGCTTCTCAAACTCAGCTTTCAGATATGCTTTTACCTGGTGGAAGTATAGAGAAAATTAATGTTTTTGTCCATGACACAATAGCCCCAGACCAAGACAGAAGTAGTATGTAGAAGTCAGTTGTAAAAGAAATGTAAAAAAAAAAAAGGCTATTACAGGCATCAGTCAGAAAAAGGCAAATGGTGTGAAAGCCAGCAATAGCTTCTAGAACAAGAAGGTTCTGCATTGTCCTCGCTCAGGATCACTTAGTCTAAAGCCAAGGTAGCAGTGTCCTTGGGGATGGCATCAGTACCACAATTAAATTACCCAAAATGTCAGCTTTCTAGTCACATGATTCAGAACCAAGGCACTTCCCAGATAGCAAGTAATTGTGCTGCAAGTTTGAAAATGACTTGCTAAACTATTGCAGACTTGCCAAGCTTCACAATTGTGTTGCACAATTACAGCAAGTCTGCATTGCAAGTCTCCAGACCAGCGAGCTTGCAGAGCTCTTGCTAAGACCGGCAGGACTCTTGCGGTAGACTTGCCAAGCAAATTTGCTACAAATTCAAAAAGTGTCAACTAGAATTTGTGCTGCGAGTGTTCTGCATGTCTATAACTTGCCAGGAACATGTGCAGCAAGTTAAGAATTACAATTTAACCCTGGCACAAGTTTGTAGCAAGTTATCCTTGCTATCTGGGATTGTTTTTCCTGTTACTACTGTAATTACCAAAACACCTCTCTGCTTTATGACTAAGTCTGATTAGGGATAATGAAGAAAATGTAAAATTATATAATAGAAATATTTTTACAGTTACATCATACAAATCACTGAACTTGATATATTGAAGAGTCCGGGCATATTCACACTTGCCCAATTTTACATGAAGTGTTTTGTATTGGAATCTTTAGAAAATGACAAAAACCAGACATATGTGAACAGGCCTGGCAACTGATTTGAGATCATGTATCAAGTCCATTTGTATATCCCGAAGACGAAGGTAAACCAGAAGATTACAGTTACCTCTTCTTTAGACAGTTTCCAGTCATCATTCAAATCCATTTCTTGGAATGACTCATGCGATCGTGGTCCATTTCGAATGTCAATAAGATTAATATCAAAGATTAAAGTGCTCTCTGGTGGAATTTTTCCTAGTTGGGAGAAAAACAAATAAAAATCAGCACAGATGATTGAAGGTCAGATGGATACATTAGGATTATTTACAACTGCAGATAGCCGCAAAGCTCATGAAAATGTTAGAATCACAAATCTGTAGCAGACAGAACAAGTATTTAATGAACAGAAAGGCACAGAGCCTGTGTTCCTGCTTCACCCTGCTGGGTCAATAGTTCCTCTGTCAACGGGTAGGTGGGCAGGTTAAGAAAAAAAAGGGGATTCTAGTTGGCTGCTATGGGGTACTGCACTTACAAAAACACAATTTCTTGATTGAATAGGTAGAGAACAAAGCCATAATTGATTTGGGGGTCCATTGTTAAGGCAATCACTAGCAATGTTTTTTTTTTTTGCTCACCTTGCTTCAAAACTCCAAGGCAATGATGTCAATGTCATGTAACAGGCTTCTACTCGTATCAGTTTCCAGCCTGCATTTTAAGAATGGGCAATAAAATGTAGGCCATGCCATAGAGTAAATTTACACACACACACACACACACTTGCCAACACTACCCCCATCTCCACAATAAGTGGCCCTAGTACTGTCCTCTCTCCACTTGCCCATTTACGTAAATCTACATGCTTGGCATCATATAAAGTTATAGGTCACTTTGCAGTTCTCTGAAAATACAGGGTGCTCATATTAGAAAATGCATACAACTGCATGAACACAGACTGTGAGTGGCCCAATAGGCATGTTATAGAATAACCAGAGGTTGTGGATTTGTGTTATGAGACATTAAAACATATGTAATTAAAGCAAGGGAACTACACTAAATAACTATTCCTTTTGTTTTGGGTACAAGGTGATTTGGTTATGGGGTATGTAGCTCATAAAACAATGTAGGGGAAACAAAATCAGCTCCCTTCTCTGCAGCAGTAAGACTTCAACAAAGTTCCCAAAGGAAAAAAAATTCATACCTGTCAGGTGCAGCAAAAGAGGTTGGCAGAGGAACAGCTGATGGTTATACAAGCTGTGTCACATGCTTACTGACCTCGTTACAGGATATAAGGCCATGCAGAGAAAAGGAATTGGTTCCCTGTACTGCTGACATCCATATATACCTTCCCTTCACTTACCCACTGCTGCATTCAGGAAGAAAGCCTTGTGTAAACTATGAATTGCTGGAGTCTTGCTTACACAGGGCTATGGACTACCTTTGTGGACAGTGTTGAATGGTCTTGTGTGGTCACATGAAGTGAAAGCCACATGTTCCTCTGAAGTACCGGTTATTTCCTTCAGTTGCCACCATAGAACCAAGTGGCAGGGAAAAAACAAAAAATGCAAGCCTATGCCGCTGAAAACCTTTTGGCTTTGCCCTCAATCCAAACAAACAATTTTGGTGTCATACAAAAGATATATATTTTTTTTACAATTACCTATTTATCTTGGTTCTTATAATAAAAGCATAAAGAAAAAAAAGTTTATATAATAATGTGAAGGACATAAAACTCAGATGCAGACAAAAAACACAGTCTACATAATATGATATCTAAATGCACACATGCAGTACATATACACAATGGGCTTGATTTATAAACAATTTGCAGGGCCGTTCGCTCTGCAAATGTCTGAATGTTTGTCCTGTGCTTATAGATGTACAAAGGAATGTTCTTTAGTCATTTTCCTTTACAAGTGTAGTTATATTGGAACGTTCTGATTATATCATATTATGGCCCCTAGATGGTGCTAAATGAGTAGAAAATAAATATTTCCTATGCTCCTTTAATGTCATCTTGTGGCCCATAATGCGTTAAATACAAACATTAATTATTCCTGTAAAAGGGAAAAATAGAAATAAATGTCTGTTCATTTGTGCAATTCAAAACACACACGCGATAACGTTAATTATAAAATCAATCCGATGTGTTATATTGACATGGCCCTAAGAAAATAATTCACAGCTTACCAGTTTTAATGCAGCATTGAGTTAAGGAAGGGTGAGTAGCCACATGCATTATTTTCTGGGGGAAGGTGCCGCAGGTTTCCAAAGGACTATTCATGTGACATCAGAATACACTTTGGATCAAGTACAAGACAGAGGTTAGTGTTAATACTGTAACATGTTAGCAGTGCTCCTGTGGTAGGTATGAAGGAAGGCCTGTTGACTACATGCATGGTGCACAAAGCTGAGCGTTTCAAACATTAACTAGGAAACCAGTGCTGAAACAGTGACAAATATATCTGAAACATGAAGACAGGCAGAAGCATGCAAACACTAAAGAGATACATTTAATAACAAGCCGTGCAAGTGTATTTGGAATTGTAGCTGCCCTCTCCTCCCAATTCCAGAACTACATAGATTTTCAAGATTTGTACCAGGATAGTCCAGGTATATCCCACTGACAACATGTGTGGACTGTAGTGTCTCAGATCTCATTCAGCAGGAGCAGCGCTCATCAGCAGGTTTTTCTTTTTTTATACCAATATGAATACAAATGTATTGTTTTCTATGAGCTGTGTACAGTTACCTAAGGAACACTAAACTTGCATGAGATCACATATAAACATGTTTAAACCCATGTGGGCCTAATACACACAACCGTAAAAATAAAAAAAAAAGTGCATAAACGTGTTTGGACGTATGTAGGCTTCATGCACATAACCATTTAAAAAAATGCGTGTAGAAACTTTTGAACATATAGCATGTAGGCTCATGCACACGGCTGTAAAAAATGCAATGCAAAGACTTTTGTTTGTGGATCTGGATGCAGGTATATTGTTTTCATGAGAGCCATGCACATAGGTGTGTAAATGTGCTCTGTGTTAATATCCGTGACCCAAATTGAAAATGGGTATAATTTTTACGTGCACACACGTGCAGATGCACGTTAATGCATATACATGCGCAAGTACATAAATGAAGTCTAGAGGAAAATGGCAAACAGATGGAGTGGAACACGAAATTTACACATTTAAACACATACACCTGTCTAAACGCAAAACATTAAAAACGCAAACATATCGATTACCCATGGCAATCTATACATTTAAATTAGGGATGCACCGATATATCGGCCGCCGAAGCATATCTGCCCGAAAATTGCACTTTTGGCATAATGCTGAAAGTACCATTTTCTGGCCGATACATCGGTGCATCCGTGTATTCTCTCCTCCCCGCCGGCCGCCGATCTGTGTCCACGCGGAGAGGAGAGCAACTGCCAAAGGCAGCTAAGCGCTGCTGGAGGAGAGACGCCAGCTGCTCACACCGCTCAGCCTGCTGTCACAGATCAGAGGAGAGCGGCTGTGTGGGTGGAGACCGCCAGTGCTGTCACAGGAGGCTGAGCTCTGCTCGCTCAGCCTCCTGTGACACTGAGTCAGGAAGGAGAGCGAGTGCAAACACTCAGCGATCACTAAGTGCTTGTAAATAATTGAGGACAGTATGTTGACTGTACCCTCAATTATGAATGAATGGGAGTGTTCATCACCTCCTGTCCATTCATGATTGTGGTTATAGTAAACACACTGTGTCCTCATGTTATGAATGAACAGGAACACTCAGGATTCCTGTTCATTTATAACAGGGGGTGCAGGAAAAAAGATTGGGGACTCTGTGTCCTCAATCTTTCCATTTTAAAAGGGAAATATCAGGAGT